CGCATGCCAGTTCCTGGAAACGATACTGTCAGCACGGCCGTACGTCAGCGCAGCGTTCCTCCGACCCGTCTTTCCGCGCGCTGGACTCTCTGATTTATCGAATCCGCCGCGGATCGGAGCAGATGCTTACGAACGGACGACCAGCCCGAGCTCGCATCGACTCCATGCAACGCACATAATTAGTCTTGTCAGCACGGTCGCGCGGTTCCTCGCGCTTTTTGGTTCTCGCGTCCGCCTCCATATTTTGGTTGCGTCTGCGTTTGCCTTGCTGGGTTGCCAACTCGCCGTTTTCGGGTGCCCTCACAGCGGCACGGTGTCATGACCCTGCTCGTCTTGCAGCCTTGGGACTTGACAGCCCCTGCAGTGCTGGCTCGTTGCTCGCCCAAGATGCTCTCGCACTGCAGTTCGGTGCCTTCGGTGTCCGGCATGGCCGACGACACAGTTTGCGCGCTTTGCGTTTGACGCTGCCACGTGGTGGCGCTCACACAGCCCTTAGCACTGCGTCGCTTGTCTGTTGTTTTTCATCCCACCCATCGGTTTCGGCAGCCAGGTTGGCCACACTACGGATATATGTACATATATATATAGACAGAAATATATATATATATATATATACATAGTTTTTCTTACGCTTCACTTTCTAGTATCGCTGATGTGACTCAGAGGCCGCAATTCGCCGTCGGCTCTCGCGCTTCCGTTGGCTCTGAGTTGAGGTTATCTTTTCTCTTTTTTGGCAACCGCACGCTTCGTTTGGACTTACAGCTCCTGTTTCACACCCAATGCTTGCATGCTGCGGTGATGCTGCTTGCGCGCCGCGCAGTCGACAACGTCCGGTCGCAATTGGCACCTCCATCTGTTGTTCGCGCTTGAGGACCCTCTGTGCCGCCGACTTTTTGAAGCAGTGCTCGTGTGTGAATGTGTGTATGTGTGCGTGTGCGTGTGTGTGTGTGTGTGTGTGTGTGTGTGTGTGTCTGCGTGCGTTCGGGCGGCGGCCGGGCTTGTGCTGCGTAGAGCACTTGTGTCCGCACCCCTTTCCCGCGGCTCGACGTCGTCTGCGCAACTGCGATGCTTCGCCCCCGCTCCCCCCCTCCCTCGCTCGGGCCCCTCGTCCCTCTCCTCCTCATCTGACCTCGTCTACCTTCTGCTCCTGGGCCCCCTGCTCCCTTCGTTTCCCACATGCCCTTCGCCCCGCACCCCGTCGACCTTCACCCCTCCTCCTTCTCCCGTCCCCCTGCCCCCTGTCTCCGTCGCCTTGTCCCTGTTTGGCTGTGGCGGAATCATGTACGTCATTGTAGCGGGTCAACTTCTGTCTACGTTGGCATATAATTGTACCCCTGCCTCCTCAATCCTCCCATTTTCCTCTTGCCCCCATCCTCCTCCGTCCTCTATCCTCGTACCACTTCGCTTCCGCCCATTTTTCTCTTCCTCATGTCTTCTTTGTCGTCCAGACCCGCGTTTTCCTCCTTCGTGGGGGCAGCCTGCCGCTTGCACTCCATCATCCTGCACGCATGCCAGTCTGTGCTGTTGCACAGAGCAGCGGGGTCATGCTGGTTGTATACAGGTCGTGCGTTCAAAGTTGAGTGTTCACGAGCGACGAACATACCTTGAACCACACATGCCCTCAAGGTCTGAAGTCCGAGTTGCGATCGCATGGGATCGCGATCGCATGGGTACTTTCAGCGCGGGGCATCCGCTCACAGACGCCCTGTGTCCTGTATCCATGGGGTCTCGGCCGAGAAGGCTGGATCGCGAGGCCTTGGATGCAGGTGTGCTTTCTGACCACGAGGTTCTCTTGGACTCCCCGAGCTGGACTAGTCTGAGCGCAACTGCAGTGATCGACTGGACTCCCTCTTGCTTTCCTTTGTCAGCTGCGGGCCGAGACCCAATCCGCCCGAAGCGGCTTCCTACTTGTATGGCTTCTTCCGACCGGCCTGCACCGACCATGTTTGTACACTTGCACCGATCCTGGCCTGGCCCGTCCTGAGCCCAGCTTTGGGGCATACGGCATCCTGGCCAGACCAGAGGGGCGTGTACGCCGATCGCGAGGCCCAGGATGGACCCGGCCAGGATCGATGCGGGTGCACCGTCGGCGTCGTCCTCCTACGGGAGGCGGGCGTGGGTCGTGGGGGTGTGGTGGGGGGAGGCCACCGGGAATTGGGCCCGCCAATCGGGGACGAGGCGTCCGGCCGCAACCGTCTTTGCTCACAGCCTGGGGATCACGGCGCCGTCCGCGCACGCTGCTTCGCCCGTGGGTGCTCGAGCATGGCTGCCTGGTGGGACCCGGCCAGCAAGCTCGTGTGCCGGCGACCGCCGGAGAGACCGCTGAGGACCGCCAGAGGCTGCCGCCGAATTACGCCCTGGACCTCCGAAGATCCTCCTCCTCCTCCTCCTCCTGCTCCTCCTCCCCCTCCTCCTCCTCCTCCCCCTCCTCCTCCTCCTCCTCCTCCTCCTTCTCCTCGTCCTCCTCCTCCTCCTCCTCCTCCTCCTCCTCAGCGCCGCCGAATTACGCCCTGGACCTCCGAAGACTGCCCAAGACCGCCGAAGTCCGACGGGCAATCAGGGGTCCATGGTCGAACATGAAGTTGTCTTCCGTGCAGCGCAGGCATGAATGGGGGAGCTTCGGCGAACCAATCGGACCAGCACCTGCCGAAGGAGCCGCCAGATGCGCAGGAAGAGCGCATCCGCACCGTCGTGGTCAAGCCTCACCTGGCCACTGACGCCACCCAGTTGTCACTGCAAGAGGGCGAGATTGTGATCGTCCTGGAGCAGGACGAGTCCGGCTGGTGGGGCGGCCACAAGGATCGTGAGGAAGTCACAGGATGGTTTCCAGGATCTTGTGTGCGGCAGGTGCAGGCCGAGCCTATGCAATGGCCAGACATCGACTCCGTCCCAAATGAGGTGGAGTCCCCTGTCGGCGGAGAGGATTCGTTTGGGAACCAGATGAAGCGATGCTGCGCGGCACTGGAGGGCGAAGACCAGAGCCCGGTGCAGCAGCACGTGCGTGTCCGTCTTGTGGCCACGCCGCAGCGATGCAGCCAGGCGAGCCAGCTCCGTGCCTCTCCGCCGCGTGAGAGCCATCCCCCCACCGTGGACGACCTGGCGGCAAGCAGCACAGAGTCGCTGTTCGCCCAGCCGTGCGGTGGCGCGGACGAGCAGGCCTCGGAGCGCGCCGAGCTCCAGCGCTACGTTTCCGAGCTGACGGACGCCCTGGGCGCTCTCAGGCAGCAGGCGGAGTCCGAGCGGGCGAGGGCCGCCGCGCTGGAGTCCTCGCTGCAGGAGGAGCAGAAGTGGCGGCGGCAGCTGGAGCAGCAGCTGGAGGAGCTGCTGCAGGGCGACAGCGCCGAGAAGACCAACCTGCGCGCCGAAGTGGGCGCTCTGCGCGGGCTGCTGGACGACGAGCGGCGGCAGCGGCGCGAGGAGGTGGAGCGGCTGCAGGAGCGCTGCGACGCAGCGCTCCGGGAGGCGCAGCGTGCCGCGGCGGACGACCTGCGCCCCTCGGAGGAGGAGCCGCGGCGTCCCTCGGCCGAGCCCGCCCCCGAGAGGGACGCCCGCAGGCGCTTGTTCGACGAGGCGCCAGACCACAGCCGGAGCCACCGCGGCTCCCAGCCCGTGGCCCACGTCGCCGCGCCCGCGCCCGCGGGCGGCGGCAGCGGCGCCGGGCACGGGAGGCCGCGCACCGCCTCGGCGCCCGGGCCGGGCGCCCTGCGCGGCCGGCACTCCGCGGTCCGCCGGGACGAGGCGCCGCCGCCCGGCTGCGTGGCCGAGCGCGTCCGCGCCCTGGAGCAGCAGCGGCCCAGCACGCCCGGGGCGGCGGGGCCCGCGCGGGAGTGGCGCGCCAGCAGCTACTCGTCGGAGGACCGCCGGGCGCGGCGCACGCCGCCGGTGCCCAGGCACTGCCAGGCTCCGAGCGCGGGCGGCGCCGAGGCGTGCGAGGAGGCGGCCCAGGTCTTCCTGGGCATGTCGCCGCTGGGCCGGGGCGGCCAGGCCGCGGCCGCGGCAGCTCTGGCGCCGTCGCCACCCGTGCGGCTGCAGCAGGCGGAGGGGGGTGCCCCTGAGGTGCAGCCGGCCGGAGACGGCAGGCTCAGGCTCTCGTCGTCGTGCCGTGGGCTCGCCAGCGAGGCCGCCTCCGAGCGTGCCCGCGTGCTGCAGGTGTGGTGACGTTGCGGAGCCCCGAGAGAGGGAGAGAGAAAGAGAGAGAGAGTCGCCACTGGGCGGAGCCTCGCGGGGTTCGCCCGGGGCGAGGGCTCCCAGCGGCATGCTGCATCCCTAGTCGGCATGCTCGTGCAGACGAGCCCGTGGCATTCGATCTGTGGCTCAAAGGTGGGGGGTCCCGAGGCATGGGGTCCTCAGGACGAGGTGCCTCAGACAGCGTAGATTCACCCTTGGACCCCTTCCTATCCTCAGGACCCCATCCCGCAGGACCCCATCCTCGAGCCATCGGTTCGAGGAAGAGGACAGCGGCATCGGCATCAAGTTTGGGAGCTCCGCGCGGATCTCTTGGATCGGCGGTGGGCCCCCCTGGCGGCGCCTCCGGCACTGCCTCTGGCGCGCTCCGCGCGCCATGGGGAGGGGGTCCAGCGCAGATCCAAGAAGTCCGCGCGGACCTCCGAAAGTTTTGCTCACGCCGCTCTCTGTTCCTCTAGACGAAACCGTGGCACTGCGTCGGTGCAGGATTTTTAGAATTAGCGCATAGAGACGTCAATGGAAGCGAGGCGAGCCACATGTTGCCGCGAAAGCTCGGGTCTCTGAGGATAGCCGCTGCTCGGGCAGCACCTCTCGGGTTCCAGGGCTTGTTTCATGTCGCCAGCTGCTCAATTAGTGCCGGGCCACAGCCCACATGCACGGCTGCTTCGTTGGCAGCCATGTACTTTGCTGACCTCGGTCAATGCAATGCACGCGCCGATTTTTTTCCTCAGAGCCTCACGCGCTCGTCGTGGGCACACCGCGTACGTACACTGCCTTCAGGCCTTTCTCAAGAAGCGGAGTTGGCGGCTCGAAAAGATACTCAGGGACGTACCCGACGCATCTGGCACGTTCGACAGCACGAGGGACACGAAGCAGGGAGTCGTCTCGCTTGACCCCTCGTGGTCGCAGACAAGAGTAGCACTTGCACTCTTGCCCAGCGGAGGGCAACATCTCATCCAGATCTCTGTAGCACCGAGCGCTCCGCTCCATCCCCCCAGGGGCGCAGGGAAGGCGACGGCAATTGCGCGCATGTCGGCTCTCTCAGCTGAAGGCGATGTGTATAATTTGGATTTGCGCGGCACTGGACTCCGCTGGACCCCACGGGGGGCCAGGAAACTGGCGACAGCTGGGCGCCCGACAGCACCGATTGAGCGGCGAGGTCTCACATAGATCTGCGTGGCAGCGCCCTCCGCTGGACACCCCCCCAAGGGCCGCTGACAAGTGTCCGCAGTTGTGCGCCCGGAGCTGCGTAGGAACACGCTCCGTTGCACCCCGGTCTTTGGAAGGCTTCTGGACGGCTTCTGCCTCCTCAGAATCCTGGAATGTCTACGAGGGGGGGATTCTGGAATGGCGAGGTTTCGACCCCACGGGTGAGGATGGTGCCTGGGACCGCCGACGCCGACGCTGGCACCAGCGCCGTGGTCGTGGTCGTGGTCGTGGTCGTCGTCGTCGTCGTCGTCGTCGTCGTCGTCGTCGTCGTCGTCGTCGTCGTCGTCGTCGTCGTCTTCGTCGGTCGTCGTCGTCGTCGTCGTCGTCTTCGTCGGTCGTCGTCGTCGTCGTCGTCGTCGGCGTCGGCGGTGGCGTCGGCATCGGCGTCGGCGTCGGCGGCGGCGGCGTCGGTTTCGGTGTCGGCGTCGGCGGCGTCGTCGTGGCCACCGCCGCCGCCGCCGTCGGTCCTCGATGCATGCTCTCGACGTCGTCGTCGCCGTCGCCGCCACAGCCCTGGGCCCGATGCCGGTCGGCCTCTTCGCGGGCGGCGTCGTGGGGCGGGACGAGTTGCTGCCTGCGCTGGCCGCGCTGGACGCGGGAGGCTACGGCGCCCCGCTGGCGGCCGCGGACGAGGCTCTCCGCGGCGGCGGCGGCGTCGCCGAGGACCGAGGGTAATCGACAGGTGTTCGTGTGGGCTGACGTTCGCTGGGCTTGTTTTCCACCGCCACCACCATGAGTAGGAGGGGGAAGGTTTCCTCCTCCTCCTCCTCCTCCTCCTCCTCCTCCTCTCCTCTTCTTCCCCTCCTCATCCTCCACCTCCTTCCCCCCTCCAACTTGTGGTCATGGTGGTGCCCATCAGACGTTCGAGGCTCGAGGTTCGCGAGGCACTGATTGGCGTTCGAGGCTCGGGGCTCGTCGTCGAGGTTTGACGCCGAGGTTCGAGGCATCTTGGCTCGACCGACGTTCGAGGCTCGGCGGTCTCGAGGCCTGGCGCTCCTCCACGTGCCTCGCCCCTTCCTGGGCCCCGAGGGGGCCTGTCGCCGCCGCGGCGGGCGCGGGCGGCCCTCTCCCTGGGAGGGGCTTTTCTGGAGCTCCCCGTGTGGGGCACGATCGCTTTTAGGCTTGCGCGTTGCTCCTCCCTTCACGCCGTAGGCGGCCTCGCCCGCGCATGTTAATTAGATCGGCCCGTGGCCCGGACCTTTCCACCCGGCGCCTGCGCTTTCGCTCGCGCCCGCGAGGAAAAATAAGAAGTGTGGGGGGGCACGATGCGCGTCAGGGGCGTGCTGCGTGCTGGGGCGGGGACGGCGCGTGGGTGTACCCGTGGGGGCCCACGTTGGAATTCCCCTGTGGGGCGCTCTGTTTCGAGGCGGGGTCGGCATGCGTGTTCCCCCGCTGGGGCTTAAAACAGGGCTATGATCGGGATAAATCGCTCCAGAGCGTTCCGGAGCGCTCTCAGAGCGTTCCGGAACGCTCTGGAGCGGCCGCGGCGCCCAATACATCCTCCAAACCCGCCGATTCTCAGAGATTTCGAGTTATCCGGATCCGATTTTGTCCCGATCTTCGCGTCGTTTTAGGGCTGCAGCCGGAACTGACGGCACGATGCGCGCAAGTGGTGCACAGCGGAAGCTCCTGCGGGGCGCGATCTCCGTGGGGCATGTGCCGCTTCGAGGCGGGGGCGGTGCGGGAGTTCCCCGCTAGGGGCCCCAGCTGGAACTCCCTATCGAACACGCCTACGGCGAATCACCGCCGCCCCCTGCCCTTTCGGAAGCGCCTATGTGGCCGAACGTTGTGGCCAGAGGCCTGCCAAGCTATCGCACCATGTGTTCCCCGAGTCGGTTTGGAAAGCCTTCGGGGAACACGTGGGGGAGGAAGAGGAAGAGGAGGAGAAGGAGGAAAAAGGAGAAGGGGAGGATGCCTCTTCGGAGCCTCTTGAGGCACTCTTGAGCTCGATTGGGCCATCTTGGGAACGTCTTGGAGGCCATGTTGGTGCTATCTTGGGCTCTCTTGGAGCCTCTTGAGGGCCTCTTGGGGCCTTTTTGGGACTTCTCGGGGGCCTCTTTGGCCGTCTTAGGGCGTTCCTGGCCCGTCTGACGCCGTCGGGAGCCGTCTTGGGGGCCTCTCTGAACCAGCTTGGGGCCCTCTTGGGGCGCTTCGGGGCCGTCTTGGAGACCATCTTGGGCGTCTTAGAGGCCTCTTGGCCCGTCTTGGGGCCCTCTTGGGGCCGTCTTGGGGGCCTCTTGGGCCGTCATGGGGCCATCTTGGAGGCCTCGTGGGCGATCTTGGGGCGATCTTGCGGGCCTCTTGGGCCTTCTTGAGCCGTCGGAATGCGGAGAAGAAGCACATGCTAAAATCCTTCAAAAACCGAACGACAATCAATGATTTTGGCCTCTTCGGGCCCTCCTGGAGGACCTCTTGGAGGCCTCTTGGGTCGTGTTGGGCCGTCTTGAAGGCTTCTCGGGCGACCTTGGAAGTATCTTGGACTCTCTTGGGCCGTCTTGGAGGCCGTCAAGGACCATGTTGGGCGGACTTGGAGGCCATCTTGGACCATCTTGGAGGCCATCTTGGGCCAACGTGGCCACCTTGGATGTTGGACCATCTTGGAGGATTTTTTCTGGATTGCAGTCCTTGGCAGTCTTTGTGGGTAGCCGGCGGAACGCGCCGGAGGCCCAGGGGGAGTTCTTCTGGAAAAGAAGCATAACCGAGAGGGTTCAGCACGCCAGGCACCCCTGTGATGAGTCAACAGGGGGCGGCGGATCCAGCTGCCTGCGGCAAGTCCTGCCACCGCGCCAGCCCAACATCGTGGGTGGCGACAGATCGAGGGGGTACGGGAGGCCGTCACATGTGACACCTCGCGTCCTCAGGCTTCGGGAGAGCCGTGGTGATGGTGATGATGGTGATGATGATGATGATGATGATGATGATGATGATGATGATGATGATGATGATCATGGTGAGGATGATGATCATGATGAGGATGAGGATGAGGATGAGGATGAGGATGAGGATGATGATGATGATGATGATGATGATGATGATACTGATGATGATGATGATGAGGATGATGATGGTGATGGTGATGGTGATGATTTATGATGGTGACGACGATTGTGATAATGATGAGGATGATGAGGAGGACGGGGGCGATGATGATGATGATGATGATGATGATGATGATGATGATGGTGATGACGATCATGGTGATGATGGTGATCATGGTGATGCTGATGGTGATCATGATGGTGATGGTGATTTTGATGTTGTTGTTGATGACGATGATGACGGTTGCGAGGAGGATTATGATGAGGATGAGGACGATGATGATACTGATTCTGCTGATGATGATCACGATGGTTATTATTGTCGTCATCATCGTCATGATGATGATGTTGACGCTGATGATGATGATGCTGATGATGATGATGATGATGATGATGATGATGATGATTGTGATGATGGTGGTGGTGGTAATGATGATGAGGATGCTGCTGATGGTGATGAGGACGAGGATGATCATGATGATGAGGATGACGCGGAGGAGGAGGAGTATGCTGATGCTGCTGCTGATGATGATGGGGATGCTGCTGCTGATGTTGCTGTTGCTGCTGATACTGCTGCTGCTGATGGTGATGATGATGATGCTGCTGATGATGCTGATGGCGATGATGACGGTGATGGGGATGGTGGTGATGGTGTTGGTGATGATGGCGATGGTGATGGTGATGAGGATATTGATGATGACGAGGAGGAGGAGGATGAGGATGAGGATGAGGATCATGATGATGATGTTGATGAGGATGATGAATATGATGATGATGGTGGTGGTGATGATAATGATTATGATGATGACGATGGTGATGATGATGATGTTGATGATAATGATGATGATGCTGATGACGACGATGATGCATCCCCGAGGTGGGAGAGCAGTTTTTACTGCCTAGCTCTCAATCGCCCGCTGCAGTCGTTTGCCCCGCGAGGTAGCATCAGCAACGATATACCATCTACAGCCGCATGGTCAAACCGGCGGTGCCTTGGGTCCCAACGACAGTGTGCATATATGTGAAAGAGCGTGTTCTACCGCTGCTGGCGGAAAACCGGGGGGGGTCACTACCGGTTCGAACCCCTCCCCCCCCCCCCCCCCCTCCGGAAAACCGGGGGGGGTCACTACCGGTTCGAACCCCTCCCCCCCCCCCCAGCTCATCATGAAAAGGGGGGGGGGTCACTACCGGTTCGAACCCCCCCCCCCCTCGAAAACCGAGTGGGGGTGCGGACAGTGGTGGGGACGGTGTTGGTGGGGACAGTGGTGAGGGGACAGCGGGACAGTGGTGGGGGGACAGTGGGACAGTGGTGGGGACGGTAGTGGTGGGGACAGTGGTGGGGACAATGGTGGGAACAGGGGGGACAGTGGACAGTGGTGGGAACGGTGGTGGTGGGGACAGTGGTGTGGGGACAGTGGGAATGAGGTGGAAACACTGGGACAGTGGAGGGTACAATGGTGGTGGAGACACTGGTAAAGGCGGTGGCGAGGACGGCGGTGGGACAATGGGACAGAGGTACAGTGGGGACAGTGGTGGGGACAGTGGGGACAGTGGTGGAAACAGTGGGA